CTCTCCCACTCAGTCAATAAGGAAATATTATTATACGAGGATAGGTTTAAAACTGGGCTTATTTTGAACGTAAATGTCATTCCTCAAGTTTCTTAAAATAACTGGCCAAGTTCAATCAAGTGATGTTTGCGAAACAAAAGTGGCTATTACATCCAGAACACGTGATTAGAATTCTTCTAAATTTACGCATGCATCAGTAGGCTGGTGATGAGGCTCACGTAACCAGATGTCATATGTTTTTGTTGATTTTGTTTTCTTGTGTTGCTAGGGCGACCGAGGCGATGGCGTTAAAGGTGAACCGGGTGAGCCTGGGGAGTCTGGCCCCCAAGGCCTTCCGGGACCTCCCGGTCCAAATGTCCCGTCAAAAACTGAAAAGGTAGACACTGGTACTTTGTGTATATGGCATAAATTTCATTCAAAATGAGCTATCGAAATATTCCGGTGGATTGGTTCAATATAAGCCCGAGATCAGGCTTCCGTTCGGAAATGTGGGCGCTCGGGAGTTAGACGGTGGTTAAAGGAAAGCGGAAACTTCTACCCTCCCCTCCCCAACCCTCCNTACCAGGAGCTGGTATCATAGAACAGCGGCATCAATAGAATGTCTACAGGCTCCCTCGCTTCGTTCGGGCTCACCGGGAGCCTGTTCGCAGGCTAGGCAAGTAGCTGGTATTTTACCTTCCGGCTTTCCCACTCAGTCAATAAGGAAGTATTATTATACGCAGATAGGTTTAAGACTGGGCTTATTTTAAACGTAAATGTCGTTCCTCTAGTTTCTTAAAATAACTGGCTAAGTTCAATCAAGTGTTGTTTGCGACACAAAAGTGGCCATTACATTCAGAACACATGATCAGAATTCTTCTAAATTTACGCATGCATCAACAGGCTGGTGATGAGGCTCACGTATCAGACGTCATATATTTTCGTTAATTCTGTTTTCTTGTGTTGCTAGGGCGACCGAGGCGATAGCGTTAAAGGTGAACCGGGTGAGCCTGGGGAGACTGGCCCCCAAGGCCTTCCGGGACCTCCCGGTCCAACCGTCCCGTCAAAAACTGAAAAGGTAGACACTGGTACTTTGTGTAAATGGCATAAATTTCATTCAAAATCAGCTATCGAAATATTCCGGTGGATTGGTTCAATATTAGCCGGCGATCAGGCTTCCGTTCGGAAATGTGGGCGCTCGGGAGTTAGACGGTGGTTAAAGGAAAGCGGAAACTTCTACCCTCCCCTCCCCAACCCTCCTTTCCTTCAACCCTCAGCCCCTGAATCCGGGAACAAGAGCCTGGTGGGAAGTAAAATTTACCCAGCTATGGCGTTTGCAATTTTCTTCAGAGTCCGTTTCGCGTCTCGTATCTTCTTGTTACACCAAAAGGATTATCCTTTAGGGAGGATTTTGAGAGCTAATGATCACTCACTAGTACTCCCTCTAAATTTCGGGATGAAAAATTGTAATTTATAAATTGCACAAGGTGTATTAACCTTGCTTGTTGTGACAGGGAGAAAAAGGAAACGATGGCGCGATGGGATTACAAGGAGAACCTGGACCCAAGGTAAAATCAAATGAATTAGAAATCCCTATAAACCCCTTTTATCAGACTACATTGCAGGTATCCATGTTGGGCGAGTGTAAGATATTTTTGTTCGCGATTTTCTGTCATCGTGGAGTCGTGGAACGTAGAGGTCCGGGACGAGGACCTCACCCCTATTTCCTAGGTCTCTGCCTTTTGATTGAGATATTAAAGATTANATTGCTAAAATCTAATACTTTATAGGGTGATGCTGGAAAAAATGGAACCGATGGACAAAAGGTAAGGGCAATTTTTTTTGCATATCGGAGTTTCTTTGTAAGTTCCTGATCAAGTTCAAGTTGGTAACTACATAACAGTCATAGACTGGTAAATTTTTGGCCCTCCCCTTCAACTTGTCACGCAATATTTTGAAGAAAGATTGCGTGACAGCGACGAGTCTGCTTTGAAGCCAAGAGCAGTCTTGTCACACCTTTGTCCTTGTGTCACGCTTGACTCGATGGTGCTTTTACGGATTTTCACTGTTCCTTCTTCCACAAAAACCCATACTTCTAAGTTTCAATTTGGTCCAGATTAACCCACGAGAAAGGACATATGCGGTGCACCTTTAAACGTTACCTTCGTTTACCAAAGTGCTACTTTTTTAAGTCTGTCCAGTTAAATTTACTTCTGAAAATTATCGCTTAACATGAGAACACAAAAACTTCCACGTCGTGTTCAGTAAGTAATGAAGTTATTGTGAACAGTTCTACCGTCATGATAACCTTGTGTTTGCTCTTGAACCATGTTTGCTCATGATAACCTTGTGTTTGTTTGCTTTGTTTGTTTGTTTCTCTCTTTGAATTTCGACTTACCTGTAATTAATGTCTGTTTATTTAGGGCGAGCCAGGAGAAGGTATCCCAGGACCACCCGGGCCCCCCGGACCGCCCGGCCCGAAGGGCATAATGGTTCGTGCAGATTGCCTCATTTTCATTTTTAACCCTATTTATTTTTTATCAGAAATATATTTCACGTGAGTATCTTGTTAACAAAGCATGGGGGTAGAGAAGAAGAATATTGGCCCAGGGTCTTGACAGTATGGATCCGAAGCGGCGAGGTCATTCAGAAAAGACCGAGGTCCGTTATTTACTAACGTCCCGTGCAATTGGTTAATAAGGAATTTTTTGAACAACTTAAATTTATGACTGAAAACAATCTGTAAAAAAAAAACTATATTAAAAACTTGACTTTGCCCAGTGCTTAAGGATACTGGAACCGCAATAATGTATTTCAACCAAGAGAAGATCAAGATAAGAGAGTGAATCCCCCATATAGGCCTTATACCTAAAGTAAACCCTCTTAAGTTATTTTAGATGTGATACCCAGTTCTTCCGCAGGAGTTACTCGCGCGTTCCGTGGATGTTTTCGTGAAGGATTTGTTCGTTTTATCTTGATCTTCTCTTGATTCTAACTAGTGGAGTTTAGTTATTGGCTCTGTCAGCTCTCCTAGCCGCGTGAAAATGTGTTTATTTGAAAGTTTCCACCATAACACACCACGTGAAGCTTGCTAAAACTTGTTTTAGATTTTGGCTCTGACTTCTTCGTTAAGAGTGATATCAGTTAATAATAATAATAATAATAATAATAACAATAACAATAACAATAACAATAACAATAATAATAATAATAGTAATAGTAATAGTAATAGTAATAGTAATAATAATAATAATAATAATAATAATAATAATAATAATAAATTAGTATTTTAAGGGGAGGCCTCCAATCACCCAGTGGGGGTTTTCTGGAGCGTCCTTTCAAAAATAAAGGTCTAAAATACATTAAGTTAACATTCCGTTAAATCCTGGACAATTTTTTTGTTGTTCGCTTTAGGAGACTGATGCTATCGGATCATCAGCACAAATAAGGGTGCAAAAAGGTGACAAGGTAAATATATTTGTCATATGAGAACATTGCAAAACCGACATTTTGTTGTAGCTGCGAAGATAGCGGGTAACCATGTTTAAATTTGTCATGAGCTTGAGGGAAGGAAAAAATCCGAGCCATCGACGTGAGTCGAGCCCCGGTGCTTCCAATGATCGAAAGCTCGAACCATTGAAGTGCAAGAGACCTTGGGGTGAGTTAGGTCATTTACTGGGTTCTTATATGACATACGTCCTGCATCTCGCTGGGAGCAGTGATGTTAAAGATGATTTCCAGTCCACATTATAAATCTCACTCTATGGAATGCAAATCAATGTTGTTCGTTACGAACCACATACCTTATATTTAAGGCCTTTCAAATTCTTTTTCCAACAGCTTCATCGATTTTTACAGCTGCGAAGCTGTTTCATCAAGTGATATAAGAAAGAACGAAGCATAAAGCTTCGACCGCTTCGCATCCATAATGGCTGTTTTTTGAAACTTTTACTTTACTTCATGTAAGTAGTTGCGAAATGTTTACTTTTTGTGATGTCTTACATGAGACAAAACAAAACACGTAAACAAACTCGAGAGAGTGCGCAATACGGACTGGAAATCATCTTTAGAGCAGTGTGGCGGAAAGTAAAAATATTCTTCTTTTTTTTTTCAGGGTGATCCTGGTGATATTGGATTTCCAGGAAAGAAAGGAGAACAGGTAAAGTTACTTTTTCAGTAACAACCACATCAAATGTCATTGATCTGAAGCGCTTTGGACCTTTTTTTTACTCACTTTCGCAAGTCACTTCGCTCTCAAAAGCTCCTTCCGTGCCTCAGAATCCTCAGTTGAGCTGAACACTTACGACAGCTATACACTCAGGAATATTTTGTCTGTATGGCTAATCAATAAGATTTAATACTTATATCTGTTCAAGTCAACCGCAGAAAAGTAAATTTTATTTCGGAACATCTTAAAATTTCGAGTTCATCATTAAGAGCTCACACAAACGTAGTCTGTTTTGACGGTTTGTTTTTGTTTTATCATCTCTACATCCTCACGTTTTAATTCCTAGAAAGCTTTTCGTTTTAAATTAATGACCTTTCTCCGTACAGGGTGCCGCCGGAGAACCAGGCCTCAAAGGCGAAAAGGGAGACGAGGGGAGCACTGGGCCGAGTGGACAAGTAGGATTTCCGGGGTTAAAAGGAAACCCCGGCGCTAAGGTACGCAGTTACTTTTGTTGATCGTTATACGATTCAAGAAATTAAAACTGCTGGTTTAGTTAGTGCAGAGGTGATTTTTGTTTATATGCTTTATTGAATTTGCTTGTTCTCGCGTAATCCAAATGAATTGGATCGCAGTTTTTCAATGCAAGAGAAAAACGTGAGAGAAACAGCCAGCACGGAGCGCGAAGGGGTGTGTGCAAGGACGGGCTCTCCTCTTCCCATTCTCTCATGTTTCTGCTTTGGCGCTCTCGTCCAGTTCTCCCGAAATTTCTTTCACGTATCCAACAATTGAAGAAATGCGAGAAAATAGCAGGCTGTCAGTGCAATGGCCGATTAAACGATTGAAGAAACTTTACAACCGCCTTATTTTATTAGATTTGGTGTCCTTGATGTTTGCTTTTTTGTTCATTTTAGGGAGAACCTGGAGTCAATGGGACGGTTGGCCCTCAGGTAAGTAATCAGCAAGACATGCAGTAATGGGTACGGGTAAATTTGGTATTTATAACAGTGAAGATCGAGCTCAGTGGCAGTAGTCAAAAAACGACACGACAGTTTTCGTCTTTTTTTCTTAGGCAAGATTCTAAACTCTAAAATAATTCATCTATTTTACCAGCAAATAGTTCCGAAAAATGTTACGAAGTTAAATGTAATGGACCAGCTGAGCGTTATCCAGAAGGGGTAGTCATTTTATGCTACAAAAACTGGAGTTAGGCAACGACACTTAAGTCAGCCTCAAGACTTTATAAGAAACTTAATTGTTACAAGGAATGGTTATGCTCTACGGTATTGCTGCAAATCTATGTAAATTTTTACTTTATAAGCAACGAACGAAGGCATTATCACTATTCCAGCGGCAGACTCAGATCTTTGCTCTTTTCTGTCACAGGGCATTATGGGACCACCAGGAACTCGTGGAGAAATCGGGCCGCAGGGACCAGTTGGATTCCCCGGGCTTAAAGGTAGCTCGGGGCCTCCGGGTCCACCCGGACCTCCCGGTCCCCCGGGGTTCCCCGGAGTAAAGGTAACATCGAAAGCTGTAATTGACTCAATGTCATAACGTTTTCAGTCATCACAGCCCAGCATAACAGTTTACTAAGATAGAAAGTCTGAAGCAGACGGATAGAGCGTGTTAGTCAATCTAAAATCGAATTAAGTTCGACGTTTGACCTAACTGTTGACTGAAATTTACCCGTTTGGATTGACTCAAATTGCTATTTAGTTTGTCTCATGTCAAGTTCGGCGTTTGACCTGGGCCTAACAGGTTCCCTTTTGTGCTACGTGAGCGAAATAGAATCATTCGGGTCGGTTATCTCTCGAATCAATTATCCCTCGGGTCGGTTATCCCTCGGGCAGGAATCGAGCTTGCGAAGGCATACGTCGTTTGACCAATGCGACTGAAACTTAGGCGCAAGTTACAGCCACATAAGAATAACTGCGTAGGTTTTCATCTTCTCTAGACACTGTTTATAGATTTGTACCCTTTGCTATATTTCAGGGTGATCCCGGAGAAGAAGCAGCCATTGGATCAATAGAAGGTGTGAATGGTAACGGAAGCGATGCCAAAGGAGAGAAGGTTCGCTCGTTACTTCCACTAAGAAAAAATATCACTTTTGTTTCATTGTTTGTCTGTCGTTTGTCTGTTTGTCAGTTTGTTTGTCTTTTTGTCTGTTAGTCTGTTTGTTTGTTTGTCTGTTTGTCTGTTTGTCTGTTTGTTTGTTTGTTTTTTTGCTTGTTTGTTTGTTTGTTTGTTTGTTCGTTTGTTGTTTGTTTCATGTGTTTTCTCCCTTTGTAGGGTGACCAAGGAGAAATCGGGGAACCAGGTTTAAAGGTATGGAAGTGTTTGTAAAAAAACCCTTAATTTTAAAAAAGTCGTCATTAAATCTTTAAACTTTCAAAGATCAGTTCACAATAAGGGACAGTTTTTCAGATTTTTCTCTCAGCTANGCATCGTGATTGTAGTCACGATTGCTTGCTAAATTCACGTTTCCGACGATTGTTTTTTGTTCTACACGGAGAATTGGTCCATATTTATTTTGCACAGAGAAATTTGGTACTCAATTCAAAACAACAGAAAAAAATGATAGGTCACCATACTCGTTTGCGAGAAAATGACGATTTTCCTCTATGGCGAGGTCCAGCCGTAAAAAAAAAGCCGCCATTTTTTAATGCGCGCGCGCTAATCACGCGTGAAATTATGCGCAGTAGGGATGCGCACTGCAATACTGGGGAATGACCTTAAGTGAACTTCTGACAGGCAAATTTGTCCGACAACGTTGTCGTTCTACATTGCGTAGAAACTATTTTGTTTATTAAGTTGTTAAGAATTCGAACTTTTAGTGATACCCTTATACCCTAGTATCCTAATACCCTAGCACCCTAATACCCTAATACCCTTATACCCTAATACCCTAACACACTAATACCCTAATACCTAAAACCCTAATACCCAAGTAGACTAATACCCTAATACCTTAATACCCTAGTACCCTAATACCCCTAACCCTAATACCCTAGTACCATAATATCCTAGTAACTATTACCCTAACACCCTAATACCTTAATACTCTAATACCCTAGTGCCCTAGCACCCTAAAACCCTAATACCTTAATACACTAATACCCTAACACCCTAAAACCCTAATAGCCAAGTACCCTTGTACCCTAATACCCTAACACCCTAATACCCTTGTACCCCCAACCCTAATACCATAATACCCTAATACCATAATACCATAATACGCTAACACCCTGATACCCTAATACTCTAATACCCTAGTACCCTTAGCACCCTAAAACCATACTACTCTAATACCCTAATACCCTACTACACTAAAACCCTAATACCCAAGTAATCTAATACCCTAAAACCCCAATACCCTAATACCCTAATATCCTAACACCCTAAAACCCTATTTGTGAGCGAAGAACCAACGTCTTATAGATAGACTCTAAGGAATGAATCCTGGTGTCATTTCAGGGAGAGCTGGGAGAAACTGGTGAAAAAGGAGCCAAAGGTGAGCCCGGGGTCCAAGGCCTAAGGGGCCCTGAAGGTCCCGAAGGTCCTCAGGGACCTCCCGGGGTAACCGGTGAGGCAGGAGTCTCTGGAAATGATGGGCCTGAGGGACAGAAAGGACAGAAGGGCGAGATCGGAGAAACCGGACTGACGGGAGAGACCGGGGAACCTGGGAAAGATGGAGTGAATGGAACTAAAGGACGTAAGGTAGGCTTCATGAAAGAAACAACAATGCTATTGTTCGTTTGCTTGTTTGTTGGTGGGTCGATAGTTTGGTTAATTGGTTTAGCGTGCGGTGGGGCTCTGCTGTCTGACATTTAATATTAAATAAGTAGCGCGCTACTCGCAATGCAACTAGAGTTAATTTATCAAAAACAAACGTTTGCGGAGATCTGCTCTTCTCTTTAAAATATGTGTGGAAAATGAATTATATGTTATCCTCGTTGACGTCGTTGTTCTTGCTGTCGCTGATGTCCTGTTATTCTTTGCCGTTTAGTTTTCAAACCAGTTTCAGTCTTTTATTCTTTGCATTTCTCATATCTTTAAAAGTACTTTTGCGAGGAAAGTTTTCTTTATGTAATATATGTAATTTTTTTATTGTTATTATTTAGGGTGAACAAGGCGGCTTAGGCTTCCCTGGACTTAAAGGCGAACCAGGGAGGAAGGTAGAGTGTATTTGTTCATGACATTTTCATCAGTGTTCCATTTGTCTTGCTGATGTTTCTAAATCAAAATGTTGTGTTATTGTTCACAGGGAGAGCCTGGCGTGGTAGGACCGAAGGTAAAACGTTTTTTGAGGAAAGTTCATTAAAAATGTGACATATTGTAGCGTAGTTTTGGTACTTAACACCACTCGTCTTTTACCACACAGAGCTTTTTTTTGAAACTGATGCAGAACGTAGCTATTAAGCAGTATGCCTCAAACGTGTCTCTGAGAATCAGTAAATCAAATTTGCTGGCAGAATTCTGTCGCAAATAGCAAAAGAATATACTTCTTAAATGAAATCAAACCAAACCGTCTTTCCAATCCTGCTTTATTGTTTTGGCCATCCTACTTTCTCTTCTAAGATCTTTAGGGTTTTTTCTTGTCATGCATAATTATTGCCGGTTTCATTTTGTTGCATTTCGTTTCAAACCATACGATTTTAAGGGGTTTGAGTGAGATTAAGATGCAAGAAAACGCTTGCTATTCCCTGAACAGGGTTCGACCCTAATGCAAGTCTTGTTAAGAACGCCAAGTATCAAGTATTGAATCTTAGCGTTGTATGCGTATCTTTGTTGAAGTGCTTGTATAGAGAATACCTATTAACGAGTTGACTTCCAGTTATCATTTACCATGTAGGGCGAGCCGGGGAAATCCATTGAAGGACCCATCGGACCGCAGGGGACGCAGGGAACTCCTGGAAAACCTGGGCCACCGGTGGGTATTTTTATTAAGAACAAAGAAATACAGAATTGTCATAATTTGTTGTATCATAATTTGTACGTCAGTCACTTACCGTATATCTAAGTGACAGTGATCGTACTGCTAACACTCACGGGTAAACGTTTATTGAGGAAGCAAACTAACTAAAATTGGTTTACAGACGGGTCATTTTAAGGTTTAAGTGAATAACTAAGGATAAAAACTAAGACCTGTTTACTTCTCAACTACAGAACGTTAACAGAACTTTCACATTATGATACTGGAGTAAAACATTTAATAGGATGTAGACGTTTGAAATGCATTCCGTTAGAATCCAGCGCGTTTAATTAAATTATATCATAAGTGTGACGTTAGTTTGGATTCCGGATCTTCATTACCATTGATTTTGATGCTCTTATCTCTCCATCACAATTTACACCTTAGTTTTACTTTCGATAAACGAGATGTATCAAACAAAAGAGGAAGTCTTTCATCACGTCTCCAAACACCTCAAAGTTGGTCAACAATACTCCGCTGCGCTTCCTAATTTCAACTCTCTTCTCGCTTGGAATTGTGATGAAACACTTTCTGTCGTGTTTGATGTATTTCTTGAGACATAGTAGTGCCATTTTTTGATGATTTTCATTGTCTTCCACAGGGACTACCCGGGTCGCCCGGAACTCCTGGTACCCCAGGGAAAGATAGCAACGTCTCNGCTACTCGCAATGCAACTAGAGTTAATTTATCAAAAACAAACGTTTGCGGAGATCTGCTCTTCTCTTTAAAATATGTGTGGAAAATGAATTATATGTTATCCTCGTTGACGTCGTTGTTCTTGCTGTCGCTGATGTCCTGTTATTCTTTCCCGTTTAGTTTTCAAACCAGTTTCAGTCTTTTATTCTTTGCATTTCTCATATCTTTAAAAGTACTTTTGCGAGGAAAGTTTTCTTTATGTAATATATGTAATTTTTTTATTGTTATTATTTAGGGTGAACAAGGCGGCTTAGGCTTCCCTGGACTTAAAGGCGAACCAGGGAGGAAGGTAGAGTGTATTTGTTCATGACATTTTCATCAGTGTTCCATTTGTCTTGCTGATGTTTCTAAATCAAAATGTTGTGTTATTGTTCACAGGGAGAGCCTGGCGTGGTAGGACCGAAGGTAAAACGTTTTTTGAGGAAAGTTCATTAAAAATGTGACATATTGTAGCGTAGTTTTGGTACTTAACACCACTCGTCTTTTACCACACAGAGCTTTTTTTTGAAACTGATGCAGAACGTAGCTATTAAGCAGTATGCCTCAAACGTGTCTCTGAGAATCAGTAAATCAAATTTGCTGGCAGAATTCTGTCGCAAATAGCAAAAGAATATACTTCTTAAATGAAATCAAACCAAACCGTCTTTCCAATCCTGCTTTATTGTTTTGGCCATCCTACTTTCTCTTCTAAGATCTTTAGGGTTTTTTCTTGTCATGCATAATTATTGCCGGTTTCATTTTGTTGCATTTCGTTTCAAACCATACGATTTTAAGGGGTTTGAGTGAGATTAAGATGCAAGAAAACGCTTGCTATTCCCTGAACAGGGTTCGACCCTAATGCAAGTCTTGTTAAGAACGCCAAGTATCAAGTATTGAATCTTAGCGTTGTATGCGTATCTTTGTTGAAGTGCTTGTATAGAGAATACCTATTAACGAGTTGACTTCCAGTTATCATTTACCATGTAGGGCGAGCCGGGGAAATCCATTGAAGGACCCATCGGACCGCAGGGGACGCAGGGAACTCCTGGAAAACCTGGGCCACCGGTGGGTATTTTTATTAAGAACAAAGAAATACAGAATTGTCATAATTTGTTGTATCATAATTTGTACGTCAGTCACTTACCGTATATCTAAGTGACAGTGATCGTACTGCTAACACTCACGGGTAAACGTTTATTGAGGAAGCAAACTAACTAAAATTGGTTTACAGACGGGTCATTTTAAGGTTTAAGTGAATAACTAAGGATAAAAACCAAGACCTGTTTACTTCTCAACTACAGAACGTTAACAGAACTTTCACATTATGATACTGGAGTAAAACATTTAATAGGATGTAGACGTTTGAAATGCATTCCGTTAGAATCCAGCGCGTTTAATTAAATTATATCATAAGTGTGACGTTAGTTTGGATTCCGGATCTTCATTACCATTGATTTTGATGCTCTTATCTCTCCATCACAATTTACACCTTAGTTTTACTTTCGATAAACGAGATGTATCAAACAAAAGAGGAAGTCTTTCATCACGTCTCCAAACACCTCAAAGTTGGTCAACAATACTCCGCTGCGCTTCCTAATTTCAACTCTCTTCTCGCTTGGAATTGTGATGAAACACTTTCTGTCGTGTTTGATGTATTTCTTGAGACATAGTAGTGCCATTTTTTGATGATTTTCATTGTCTTCCACAGGGACTACCCGGGTCGCCCGGAACTCCTGGTACCCCAGGGAAAGATAGCAACGTCTCTGGCCCGCCGGGACCCCCGGGACCTCCCGGTCCGCCAGGAGACACTGATGGTGAAATAACGCAGAGAGATGATCCGGGGATGAGCCCGCTCTCCCCTGGGGTAAGACCAACGAAACGTTCTTTATACGCACATCAAAGCAGAGAGGCTACTCATTATGACTACCTTACATACGACTGGCGCGGCAATGACCACATCAAACAAAAAATATTAAGAAGTGGAATATATGAATCATTTAGTGTCTCCAAGCTCTTAATTTGGCGTGAAAAACGGGTCGCCCTCGCCCTCGCAACTCACTCGCAATTCGAATGTCCCCAGGTCGGAAAATAGCTGTGTTATTTTGAACAAGAGATGTTGTTCCTCGTCAAATTAAACCCAGAATTCTCGAAAAAAGTATTAGAAGTATTGTCTTTATTTTTGTTAGCTACAAAGAAAGACTCATCGTGTCGTTTCAGCAAGACAGCTCGGTTTTGACTGCCGTTCGTACTGCGGGGGCAGTCGCCGTATGCAAGGTGTGACAACAGACAATCTAGAACCTTTGAAGTAACGTAACGTTTCGATCTTAGAGCAGCAATAGGAGACGCTACAAGCGAAAGANAAAGTTGGAAAAACTCCCTCATCAAGTTGTGGCACCACGATACTAAAATACCTTTTTGAGGGCTGTGACAATCATTTTTCCCGTAAAGAAATACAGTGGCAAAGTTCATTGACTGTGTAGTTTTACCCTGGGTTTGAGACGATGGATGAATCGGTAAACGCGCGCATCGCCGGATGTAAATTGACAACTTCCGCTCGAATAATTTTTTTTTCTTTAATTCGTGAGCCATATAATAAACAACTTAATAACCTCGACCGTTCGGTCGTTACGGGAAAATCTCAAACCTCGGCRTACCGTATTGACCTCGCTATCGCTCGGTCAATACGGCAAGACCTCAGTTTGAGATTTTCCCGTAACGACCTCACTCTCGGTTATTAAGTAGTTATTGTATACCTGAATACAGTTCAGTATTTTTTCATGCTATTTTTTTTTTAACTAAGCTACCGCATTAAGCATTGTATACAGTACATTGAAAACATGGTAATAGATGTCCAACAGTAGTTGAGGCTACTGCACTGAGCATTATTTACAATACATTGTATACTTGAATACAGTTCAATACTTTCGTCATATACTATTTCCTATTTTTGCTATGGGTACAAGTAGAACTAAAAAATTCTCTATTTTGCCCCAATTGAACTTAATGGGAGTCGGATGCTATTATTTAACAATTTCGTATTTATATTTTTTGAAATAGGAGAGATATTAATTAAAGGAGCGTTTTCCAATTACTGATTAAATAATTTGGGGAATTTTCAAACCCGCATTTTTGTTGTACTGCGTCAAAAAATTCGTGAAGAGTGAAAGGCTTGTTATTTAACATACTACTTTAGGTATAGTAGCGCATGAATAGTGTTGTATAATTAAACTTCTTTTTCTTGTTATTTCCGCGCGAGTTAGTGATAATGCCGAATAACAGCTCCTCAGTAGCTGGAGAGATTTGAGAATTATTTGTTTTATTGAACCAGTGTTACTTTTTGTATGAATGACTTAGTGAAAGAGCAGCGAATGAAGATGTGGTTGATGGAGTCCTTTTCCCGCAGAAACGGCATTCATCTTCTGGTTTAATCCCATATTTGAATAGTTCTCCCTTTGTCACTACGATTCTATGAATAAACTTAAACTGAAATTCTCTTAGCTTCGTTTTCTTGCTCACTGTTCTCAGAGACTTGAAAATCTTTCCCCAGTGATCTTCATGTAAAGAAAGGTTTTGACTCCATCTTTTGGGACCAGTGTGGCCCCTAGTGTGGCCGGATTTTGTCAATGAGCAATTGGTTTCGTGATTTCGCTTTGTTCAGGTTGATCCCAGTTTATTATTAAAACGAAATAAAAAATGGTCGTTACTTATAAAGAACTGTTTGTCAACCGAATCTACTTGCCTCGCTTTTAATAGTGATTGATTCGGTATAGCGCTAATGATCTAGTAATATTGGAAGAAGTTGGTTTTGCATGCAAATTTGTCAGAAAATTCTTGGAATGAGAGGTAGCTTCCATCATCTTTTAACAGGTCTTTCGTCGAAATAACACCTTTTTCTGCCCATTTACTGAGATAAACTGTTTTGCTATCCACGAGCATTCTTCTGTTATTAAATAAAACTAAATCGCTATCTTGATCGTACCCGTAAATTGTTTTTAATTCTTTGAAGAATTCCAGCATATTCCTCTAAAAGATTGGCAATTGTGGGGGATGCTTTGTATCATAATTCAATCTTAGGAGAAAGTTTAAGCCTCCCAATAACTTATGAGCCTTTTTGGTGAAACAGTCCGTAGTGAAGACTGTAATCTGACCTGTCTCATTTTCCTTGTTCTTCCACGAATCGCAGCTATCAGATTTGAGGCAAGTAAGCGAATATGTCTTGGCTTAATATGTTTCCTGTTCTTCGGCAAAAGATCGTTACGGAGAATGGCCCTTGCATTAGCGAATGCGGGGCATCTGAAGTACTCAATGTCTTTATTCGATGGAAACATCTTCTTCATGTTGAGGTACTTTCCATTGGAGTCGTATAAAAATACGGCGTGCGTTGAGTTGACTGAATTGGCGATGGCTGGAGGCAAAGGTTTTGTAGTCCATTGACAATCTATTCAGACTATTTTCCTTATTCTGAAGGCCAGGCTCTTGATAGACTGTTCACACCCTCTCCATTTTTCAACGCACGCGAAAGAGAAAGTGAGCGAAGCGAGCAAATAGCACGCGGGGGTGGGGGCGGGGTGAAGAATTTCCACCCCCTACCTTGTCAAGTCTCCCGTTTTGCGCAGGCGTCCAGTTCTCTCGCGATTCTATCCACGCGTTCAACGAGCGAACAGTCTAGGCTCCTGAAGGGTTTCCATCTTTTCGTCGAGGGTCGAGGGTCCCATGTTGAGGGTTAATATCTCACAGACCTGATTATTTATCTATAACCTTCTATAACATTCTAATTATTGACTTCTTTTATTCAATTGCCGGTTTTCCTGTGACCTCATCACGTTCCAAAATTAAACATTACCTAACCTTCTTTCTGGTTTTTGTTCCATCAGATATAAGACCCTTTTTTCAACGTTTCCTCTACCGAGCTCTTCGTTTTGTAACAGCCTGAATGAATTCGTCTCGCTCTTCTCTCGTGTTCCCTGTAAATCAGCAAACATATCTGCCTGATGAGCATAAAGACTCTGCCAAAGCAATTGCTATGACCTCCTTCAATCCTCGAGCCTGGTATTCTTTCCATCGGTATCCTTTGACTTGCTTTTGTCGAGACCTTTGGCGAGCGTGGCGAATCCATAATATAAAATAAATTTGCACGATTTTAAGTAAAACTTTGCCTATATGTGTCCAACGCGAAATGAATCAATACTACGGAAAACGCGATATGTCATAAGACCTTATAAATAGGATCTAGGAGGGTGCAATTTGTTTGTCACGCATGGTGCCATGGACCAAAGACAGACCATGGCAGATCGATTGAGCACGTAGAGGGGCCATGTGTGGTACGATATAGAACAGTCAATGTCATATTTATTTTTATTTTTTTTATTTTTTGGCGACATGACAGGGCTAGCGAGAGTTTCTCGAGTCCACTACCGTTCTCGTCCTGGCCGTCCCGTCCTCGTATGTTATCAAGGTCCCTAATGTTGTGCACAATGGTGCAGAGAACATATATTTCGAGCTTTCACATTTTAAAACAATACTCCCGGCGTATCTAATCGAACAAAATCGAACCAAAATTCAATCGAACCCAATCGAACACCAATCGTGCGATTGTGTTCGATCGTGTTCTGTTCTATTGTGAGTTCGATTATCAAACAAGTAGAACCAAGCGAACAAAAGTGAACGCAATCGAACTCAATCCGATCCGATTTTGTTCGGAATCTATTTCTTGATAAGTAGATCACGCGGGAGTAATCATAATCAATCTTAATTGAATGGGATTAATAGAAAAACGCCCAAAATATCCAACTGAATGTCAATGTTCAGTTACATATATGTACAAGAGAACAACACGACAGTAAAATACTTAAATACATCATTGTTTCACTACACACTAGCAGTAATTCGACCTTTAGTAGAAATTTCCCCCCACCACGTGGCCATTTTGGGGTATTATGCAGATGTGACAATCGTCCTATCAAATCGCTAATAAAGGATTAGGTGGACGGTTCACCGTAAAAAATTTTCGCAAAATATACACTTATTTGATAATAGGGTAATATCTAGGCATTTTTTTTTTTTACTTCAATTTTTATCAGTGTTAATATTTAAACATAAAAATCAAACAAAAAGGAGCTCGGTAATCGAACGTTTGATTGAATACGACTGTCGGTCGTTCGTCAATCGAACGTTCGATTTTGTTCGATTGACCAAATTTTAGCGAACGTTCCATTTGATACGGCGAGTTACTTATAACTTATAATTTTAAAACTAAAAATGTTAACCCTTCGATCCTCGACGAGAAAAGTAGACTCCTCCTGAACAACAGAGAAACGGTTTTCTAAGGGTAGATTACAATAAGTTCTTCGGCATGTTCCTCTTCAGTGTTTGTGAAGGGTTGGCGTTTTGGGTCATGCTCCACAGCGGATTTGGCAGACAATGGTACCAGAACTTCTGAAGGTTTTTGTTTCAAATCCATTACTTGTTCTCTGAAAGATATGACCTCTCTCTCGAGCTGAGTTTGTTTACGAAGCAAATCTTCATTTGTTTCTGAGAGTTGTGTGTTCTTCTTGTGCAAAACGTTTTAAAGGTTTTTGAGTAATAAAGATTGTTGGCGCAGCTCCTTTTTGTGTTGACAGGCCGCAGACAACTTGATCTATGTTTAGTAAGTTGTCTGCTGAACAATTTTGACCTTCAATTGTTGTATGTCGCCAGAGCTAAATTTTGAAACTATGTAACCTCGGCCTCTAAATTACCAACAGTGTCTCTGAGGGCTGAAATTGTATTTTAAACCCTTCTTAGGGAGACAGATAAGGGCTCGACAGACGGCGGAGCTTTGGTTAGGTGTTGCCGTAGTGTTCTTAGGGGCAATTCAATAGTTGTGCCCTTAGTGTTCTGTGAGGTGTGAATCTCGTCTTTAGAAAAAAAAAGGAATAATGTTTCCAAAAACATTAAGAGTGATGATGTGAGGAGAGATTTGTTCTCAGATGATGGTGCCGATTGAATATTCACAATTTCCAAAAGGACCGGAAATTGCGCCAGACATCGACCATTCTTCGTATTTCTTTCGCTGAACGAGAATACGGCCGGTGGAAACAAAGACCGTTAACGTAACCAAATGCTCTTCTGAGGAGCTGGAGGTACCAGCGAGATGAATTACAATTTTTTCGCATTTTGACGGCGAGCTGTAAGCTTCTTGTTCTTTCCAGACGGTTCTGTATCCCGTTGCGTCGCTGTTTAGGTATTTATATAGCTAGTTTTGAATACAGGAATCCAGCGCAAAAGTCGGCTTTCTGTTGCGCAGAATGCTGCACACCTTGCCGAAGATTGGTATTTGGACAGGTCGATGAACTCGAAGAGGGCCGGTTTGGCTGAAGTAGTTGGCGAATAAAACTTGTCAATCAGACATTTGTTGAGACGCGCACTCGGCTGCGTAACAACCACTGTGCGTGCTCAGTGACTTCAGGCCCGATTTATGAGCTTTTGGCAAATGACTTCCATTCTCTCCTTGAGACCTTTCGCTGTCCTCTTTCATTAGTTAAATGTAGAAGTAAATTTGGAACCAGGATAGCTCACGATTTTTCTAAAACGAGACTATTTGTCTCCCATCATGAAGAGAGCATGTTGATCTTGAAATACGATCTCTCCCTCTCGACCACTCGGCCGCGCTGCTTCCACTAAACTAACGTGCCTGCTGTCCAGAGCCCTCGCCCCAATTTTCGCTCGGCCAAAATGCGGAAAACTCTCTTCGTTCCTGCAGGAACACTTGGTAGGCAGGCTTATACCACACGTACATGGTTAATCATTAGGGTTGCCTTTTTATCGATGTTTTTTAATGGATTTTTATTTATTTCACAGTTACGCGTGGCGGCCCTCAATCAACCAATGAACGGCAGGATGCATAGCACTAAGGGCATTGATGAACGATGCTGGGAGCAATCTCGCGCAGCTAATCTAACTGGAGCGTACAGAGGGTTCATTTCCAACAGACTTCAACATATTTATTCCATCATTCATAAAGAGGACAGAAATCTTCCTGTTGGAAACCTCCAGGTATAGTCCGAAAACAAGATTATTTTTTTAAAAACCTCCCTACTGATTGTCATACATTTATTTTAATAAGTCTGAGAATTTGGTGATACATCAAGACAATATCTCGTAGTTGATTATTTTCTTTATTCTCATCACCTGTTTATTTTACTACAATTGCTACTAATCTCACAATCTGATGGCTAATTTGCCGTTGTCGATAGGAGTCCAAACAAAGCTGCTCGCGTCAATGTGTCACGCAATGCCTTTTTCAGCTCGGGCTCTGAAAAAAAAACAACTTTCTTTGACGTTGATATTGTGGTAAACAACGAATCAAAATGTGGTTTAGCGTAGTCTGTACTCTTATCGACAACGATACGGGTCATCACAGGGGTCAAGATTTGTTGTGGACTCACTCGGCTGCGCGTCGTGAGTCCACAACATTTTGACCACTGTGATGACGCGTATTGTTGTCGATAAGAGTACAGACCACGCTAAACCACATTCGGTTTGTTAATTTGACATTTTATTGAAAATGAAAGGAGAAATCAGATTTTGATCAGACCAAGAGCGGATATGAAGGATAAGAGAGTTAGGGAAGAATCCACCACATGTTCGAGTAACAAGTGGACAAAAACTTTGTACCGAACAGTTATTTACGTTGTGTTGCAAACTTCTGTCTCAAAAGAAATCATTTCTAACGACACCAAATGTCGAAAATAAATTTTGAAGTTCATATGAAACACTTGAAAGTACTGGTGAAATTAGAGTGATGATTAAATTTTACTTGTGATTGCGCATTTTCTCTAAACTTTGAAATTTATTTTCTCGAGTTCCCATGGGAAACTGTTTTTGGTGTTATTTCAGGCAACGTTTTGTATCTTTAGCCTTAGTTATCGTTTTATAGTTTATAACACGTTGTTGCGTTTTTATCTTGCCAGGGAGATCAACTGTTTCCTTCTTGGGAATCGATTTTCACCTCACGATACGCATTTAACCCTGACATCCCAATCTATTCGTTCAATGGATCAAATGTTATCACCGATTCAGCTTGGTAAGTTATTTTTAGGTCAGCTCAACCTCTGGCGTAGACGGACCATTAAGGGGACGGGTGGGTAGTTTCAAAAAAAATTCCTGCACAACGAAAACTGCTGTAAAAATCGTGCAACGGAGTCATGGGAAGAAAATCGAGCTAGTGCTTGTGCTGTATTTAATTTCAAAAAAATTCTTGCACAAGCTATTGCCCACCTAAAAAAATCATGCAAAACCTAAAGGTGAGAAAAAATTTCATGCCCCAGAATCCCCACCCTCTCAAAAAATAATGGCTGGCCCTAAGTGTCGCGGTGTTTGGTTTCTTTGCCATTTCCTAGATCACTGAGTTTTCAGCCAATAAGACTTGTTAAATTAACAATAGAACGCAGTACACACATTGCTTTAGCTCTTGTAATATTCCACAGGCCTTTCAAACACATGTGGCACGGATCGCGTGAAAATGGCAACAAGTACCCCACTAACTGCCGTAGCTGGTTGAGCAGTAGTTCAAAGGACTTCAGCACGGCCTCGGCCTTGAATGGCCGTGAGCCTGCCTTGGCCGAGCGGGAGTTTCCATGCAGTAGCAACCTAATTGTTTTATGCGTGCAGATTAATCCTGTCAGAAGACGACGATTCAGATCTAGCCACAAGTTTGTTCACTAAACCCAGTGTTACTTGTCCTGTATGCCATTCCATGATAACAACAAGCTGTCTCCAAGCCGGCCATAGCCTCGGCCACTGTGCTTTCAGCAACGTATTGTTTTCCGAAGAACGTTAGGAGCTCGACTGGTGGGATTTTGTTTGCATGAAAAGAAGAACGTTATTTTAAGCTGTGCGATTCGACGATTGTTATATTTATACTATTAATTTAACGTACACGCTTAAGATATGTGCACTTTCTAAGCGTTAGAATATTTTTGTTAGCTGTTAAAGTTGCTAAACATCGGTTTAGGCAAGATGTGTTTAAATTTTGAAATGTAAAAATACCAGACACATTTGAATTTTCTAATGCTTATTTTCAAAGCTAACTTGCTCTCAGTCAAGTCTTGCAAAACAAAACAAGTAAGAGTGAAAATTTTACATTTATCTGGAAACTAATTATTATGTCACATTGAGCAGCGACTTCAATGCTTCTAATATTCATTTTTTAACAACAACCATATTTGAAAAATACTCCATCATCTCTATCCTTTCGCGCCTTCTTATTTGCCATCAATTTGTATAATCAAATGATTTCAAGTGCAATTTGGAATAAATAAGCACAAGTAAATTTCTTTTTGACTAAACTCGCTGGGAGTGCACTTCGTAATATTTGAAAAATTTACAAGTACTTATTTATTCCAAATTGCACGAGAAAATACTATTTGATTTCTTGTTAGTAATATGACATGCAATGTAATTTAAACTTTCTGCTCTCAATTTCAACTTTTTACACACAATTTCAACTTTTTACACTCAATTTCAACTTTCTGCTCTGTTTAGCTAGGATTATTTGACATGCCCTCAGCCAATCAGCATGTTGAAAATATCACATGTATATTATTATTTGCAGAATAAGGAACTGCAAATTCTAAAACATTTCAACGAATTTCGTCATTTGCTTGATGTGCCAAATATGGAAGTTGATAAAGCTGAATATTCTGGAGCTAAATTACAATTACGTGAGGCAGCTATTTGTCTCAACTCTGATATAAATTATTGACAAATATTTTTAAGTGACTCTATATCCTCGAGTTTAGGAGAGAAATCACCTCCTAGTATATTAGGATATTCTGTAAATTATTTTTATTCATATTAGACTTATTATTCTAGCTCCGGTATTTTAAAATTATATCTAAGAAAGGTTAACACGATTATATTAATTATGTTGGTAAGGGAGCCATGTCACGGATGGCACATTCTAATCTTTTCAGGTTTATCGTTCGTAATCCGTCTCAATCCTCTCAGATCTTAACCATCCTTGCTCCTTTTTTGGTTTACTGACCCTTTTAATGTCTTTCCACCGTCATAAATGATTATTTTCAGGTTTTTCCCTTTGAAAACAATTCTGTATTTCTTAATGAAAATAGGCTTAGTCCGATAACGTAAATGGGGCATTTAACTGTCTCTATCAGTCNACCTGTCAGCGTACCTCAATCTTTGCTTTAAAGAACAAATCAAACAGGATGTCAAGTGAACATAGTCAAACTAAAGTGAAACAAAAACATAAATATTGACCATGCAAAACAATTTTTGCAACTGCGCAGTTGAACATGTCAATTTCTAACAAGTGAAGACATTACAGTTTACTACATTTTGTTTCTTGACACAGTGAGAAGTACAAACAACATAGTATTAATTAATTGATTTCAACTTGACTGTACTGCTGTTTGTACATGGTCTAAATGTATGCCACTGAAGAAACTCTGAGTTTTTCTAAGTTACTGATGACAGTTAATAACATTATCACTTTAATAAGGCAAAGGATCCTGATTGATTAGTTTGAATAATTTTAGGAAACTTCTTCATACTGAGACCATAACAATAGTTACCATACTCCATTGATCGCATCAATATTTCTTTTTTTTTTTAACACAGTCAGTGTCCCTTAAATTACCTGAGGTTCTTGTTTTTGCAGTGGTGGTACCTGTACGGTCTCCCTTGCACCACAATATCTGCCTGATTGGTCCAGTTCACCTTTAAAAAAACATTTATCATAATTTAAAAACTTCATCAACCTTTTTTTTAAGTCAGGCACAAAATAATCATTAAACCACTGTCCCTCCCTTACAGAGTCAAAATGGTCAATAGAACCTTGAAACAATGGCAACGTAAATTTAACAAAGGTCCTGGTACAGTTTTACACCCAGATTCCCTGTCTTGCATCAGTATTCCATGTAGCATTTCAACATTAACACATCAGTATCAGTCTGTAAGTAAAATGTAACTGATCAGCAAATAACCAGAAAGTGGAACACAGGTTTGAATGCTGTAAGGACTCATATTCTGGTGATTATACTGATTGTTTCCTTGAATTCCAATAAAACCTTTCTAAATGGGTGCTGTATTGCACAAACATTTCTTCCACACAATTTAAAACACTTCACGTCATTTAAAGCTATTCATACTTCTTACAACAAAGCTAAAACTAACCACTTGAAGTAAGACAAACTTTCCATAGCTTCACTGTTCTGTCGTTGGATCCTGTAGCTAGCCAGTTACCATCCAAAGAAAAAGTACAGCAAGTAATATACCTGGAAGAGTAATTAAATAAACATTTTAATATAAATATCACCTCTGACATATATAGCAGAATGTCATGACATTTTTATAAGAAACTTTATGACATGTAAAGTTCTGAAAGTAATGACTCCCTGCAACAGATCCTCCATAAGTAGCAATACACTGACTGGTTGTCAGCATATATCCTCAAAAAGTGAACCTTCAAAACTAGGGGCCTCAAATCCAAGTTACCTTATTATGAGAAACAAAGGAAATAACAGATAACTTAAGTTGTAACATAACAACCCTTATTCCAATGTCAGTATGTTACTATGTTTTTGATAAAATGTGACATTTTTCCAGCAAGATTTATCATTTCTGCTAGATACGTAAAACACCTTATTTTGAATAAGATGAGCTGAACAACAAAGGTTATGCATTTAGCTTAACCAAAGTGGCAACCCCACAAGACTTGCAGCCCTCCAAAAGAAGCAATTATACAAAAAATGCTGATAAATCCAAAAGTACAGAAACCAGTGAGAGGTGTTACTTCAGAACTTCAAAGTGAACCTCAAGCAGCCCAAAGGGCCACTAAGCAGAACACCAACTTATCATAATCAGACGCTCCGCTTTTAGGCTTGGCTAAATCTATATATTAGGTGTAATTATCAGGTTCAGTGAAAACTGAAATGTATTTCAAAGTCCTAGAATGTTTATTTTCCATTCAAGAAATTTAACAGCAAATAACTTAATGGAAAATAAAATATGACTAGAATTTTTTCAATGATCCTTCAACAAAAAAACTAATAGTAAATTATTTCAAATACCTAGTGTGTCCATCCAGTGTTAGTAATGATACTCCCATTACCTGTGAAAGAGAGTTTTACGCAATTACTCTAAACTCAATTAGTCACCTCATTCTGCAGGTAGCTAGAACATAGATAGATTCCAGGGCTGTTGATAAGGGCTGTAACCCACAACACTTGTTGCAGCTGACTATGTTTGATGGACCCTTGATGTTACTGGTGAACTGGCCCGTAGTTGATACAATTCACCCATAAAGTAGCAAGCTTGCTACGGATGTGAAGATCAAGGCTACAAGTGAATTAAAACTTAATGACAGCCCTGTTAGATCTTTTGCATGTTACACCTTTTGCCACAAAGGTCAAGCAATCAATCATCATATCTATCTCAACAGAACCATGGTTTGTAAAAACCTAAAGTAGTCTGAAAATAACTTTCCATTAGGTGCTGTCAGTAATGCTGGCTTTGAGCACAAGATCCACTAACCAGAAAAGAAAACTGCTCTACAGCCCCTGACTTGCCAGGCTTTTGAGCAACTGGGTTGCCTAACAATTATTGCCTAAGGCAGTTATCTACATGTACACATTTTCCACAATATACCTTACACAGGTTTCATGAAGCTAGATAATGCAAGTTTAGCAGGGTATCTACCATTCTGTATACTTACTGGATCCCAGAGGATAACTAACTTGTCTGAAGATCTGAAACATAAAGATATTCAAAGTGGCACTGATTTATATATATTACATTTTTGAGAAAGATAGAAACACATGGATGACAGGTTGTTTCTTAGGAATTAAACAGAATGAACTAGTCTGTGTAAGTGAACTGACCAACATCGCGTGCAATACAAGCATCTCTCACCCATTAACAGGAAGAGAAAAAAAACAAACATTATCATACATTATACAATGTATGGTGCAAGCTCAAACAAAGAGAGCAATCATTGCTTTCCTGTCAGAATTAATACAGGAATCTCAAGATTTTAAGTGCAATTTGGAATAAATAAGCATAAGTAAATTTTTTGAATTATAACAGGTTAATTCAATTTAATTTTTATTTCAAACACAACACTAGTCATGTGATTACTTAATAATACCCTTGAAAAATGGACAAATTGCAACCTTTGGCTATGGAATACTTTTGCAGCATGCAGTGCCCATCTTTGGAAACTTCTGAAAAAATGTTAGGGGTGGTGCATGGTCCTTCAAAAACTCTGGGTCTTGCAAAATTTTAGTCAAATTTCGTGGGTCTCACAGTCTCGTTTTTTTAGTGGTTACGTGTATCTCGCAGTCTCGATTTTTATACGAGGCTACACTTTTTGCACTGGAGCACTTTTTCCACTGGTGTTACACTAGAACTGCACTGCTCTTAACCAACCACAAGAAATAAATGCTTAAAGTGCATCATTAACGAGATAACAAGCCTGGTAATTGCTATAGAAGACTGAAGGCTCTAGTGGAATATTGCTATAAACTGTACATACATTCTGAGTTCCCGACAAGAATCTAACCCATGACCTCCCGAACACCGGGCGNTATTGATGATAAATTGCATCATAACACGGTCAAAGTGGCTGTGGAACCAAGAGCCACAGGCAAGTGGTTCCACAATAACAAGACCCCAAAATGGTCAAATGCCAGGAATAAATGAGGGGAAAAGACGCCATAACTTGCTGTAAACAAAGATAAGTGAATTTTATTCAAAATGACGTGAACATTGTCAATAGCTTTTCTCGCTTTTTGATTGGCTACTTAACAAAGTCAATAAAATCTCATTGGTTAAAAAGTTTACAGTTTGACAGCTGAAAGTTAAACTTAAAAGCTTGCATAAATTAAAATTTTACCTGTCTGTACTCTTATTGATGATAAAAATGAGCTAATCAGCACACAAGAAATTAGACAGCTATTGTAAAAGATCTCTCCACTTGTGAAAATAACATGTTATTTCCACACAAGTAGATATCATGTTTTTGCGTGAACGCTCACCTGGTATTTCATTGGTGTTTATATAATAAATGTGGATATCTTCCTGGCAGAAATAGTATATTTTTTAATGGTCCTTTCCCATTAGAAAGACAGCCTTGAAAGTGTACATACCCTGACGCCAGTATTTTGCCATTAGGAGACATGGCCACTCCATGAACCGGCCCTTGATGACCACTTAATGAACAACGTTTCCGTATATGGCACTCTTCTGAAAATGCTGAAATTAAGACATAGGAATTAATAAAACCAATAGAAAATACCAGCAAAATGAAAGAAGTAAGATGACAAGAACTACAAAACAAAACAAATTATACATGACATTGCTTTGATGTACCATTAATCTTTCCTTGGTGTCAATATCATGGCAGAATCAAAGCAGGACATGTATGGTATTAATACCTGACGCAGTGAAGATATCCCAAAGCTTCACAAGGTTATCGTTTCCACCAGTAGCTAGCATGAAATGTGGGGCACTACCACTTGTGTCTTGAAAAGCAGGGTCTGTCAAAAAGAAAATTGAATAAGTATAACATGTATCATTCTCTATTATTGACCGAATAACAAAAATGACTGAACAACCACTACTCTGATCTATGACTGGGGATTATGTCACAACAAGCCCCTTCTACTGTACAACCACTTAATGAAAAGTGATACCTTTGCTTCGAGGGTAAATAAAGTTTATGATGATGATGATGATGATGATGATGATGATGATGATGCAATCGTATCAGCTGATATGTAGCCAAAAATGACATACAGCTGTAGGCTAAGTTTGAATGACCACACAATATCCGGATTATGTGTACTAATAAAAGGAATCCACAGTTGAGTGTCAATCAATACTCTCGATAGATACCCTTGATCGACATCTCGATCGGTACTCGATTGAGACTCGGTTGACACTCAATGAACAGTCGGTTGATTGTCGACCGACTCGAGTGCATCGATCAAAATTAGTTGATTGTTGACCAACTGTTGACTGAGATGTTGATGGAGTGTCAATTGAGTCAACCAAGGTGTCAATGGAGTATTGACTGAGTGTTGATCAAGGGTATCGATCAACACTCAGCCCTTTTGTGCTCTGTAGACATGATCCCAGTGTTCAACAAGATTGAAAAGGATAAGTGATTATTATAAACAAATTGTTGACAATCAAATCAACTGTGTCTGTTCAGTGCTTTGGAAAATAACAAGTAAATCGTCTTGAGTGCACTTCTGTATTCTACAATAACATATATCACAGTATGGATGACAGATAACAAGGACTTCCTGACCAGGACAAAAATGTATGGGCACCATCACAATTTTGAGAATAAAGCCTGTAAGTATGTGTATGGGGAAGATCAGAGAGAATACCAGTTAAGATCATAATAATATTGGTAAAATTGCCAATTTTGGAATGGCTAGCATTTATTAAGCGACAGATGTGGGCATGCAAGTTTGAAAATTCATGAAGAGTTGCATGGAAAAAAGTTGTATACTTTGTATGGGAAGGTTTACCATCCAGCAACAAAGAAAGTTTCATGAAACTTTTTTCAAACTTTCAAACCAACATAAAATCTTACACTGAATCATTTCTGGTCTCAAATTGAAAAGCTTGCTAATCACACAAACTTTCCATTTTTTGCAACCATTCTGAGCTGTACCATATATACCTGTTTGATTGATAAGGTCATGTGATAATTTCTACAAAGGACCTCTCTAAGAAAAGTTAGAAAAATAAATTCTGCAAGACCTACTGTATGCTACTGAGTTAAGAACTGCATCCTTCAATAACATTCACAGTTATGATTAGGTATCTCAGAAAAATTCAACTTGCTTCAAATAACAACTTCCTCTGTTTAATGAAAACAGTTTAACTACATGCACTATAGCAATATACATGTATTAAGCTTACAGTCTGTGTCAAGACCAAGACGACGCAATGTAACTTGAGTCATAAATGGAGATTCCATATTCAGTACTGTAAGAAGAATTAAAAGAAACTTTATTTGTATCATGTTAGTTAAAATGAAGAGAAGAAAGAATTAGTTTAATGTGAAATCTTTAATGCAATTATTACAAGCTATTTGAGACACATCTCGCATTATTAAAATATTTCTTAGTAATAATACAATACCACATAAATATTTGTCCATTAAAAAAAACGAAAAAAAAAAGACTAACCAAGTTTAATCTTTGCTGCGTATTTTAAAATATTTAGAAGTGCTTTTTAACAAGAGTTAACTTTCAGGTAAAGACTTAGATCATTCAAAGCTTGACATAAAAGAATCCTATTCTCAAAAAATAGTTCTGATAATTATATTGTACATTATCAGTTAAAATTA